CTTTGAATGGCACTTGTAAAGGGTCTTTCTGTATTATTTGTGTGGATTCACGAATTTGACAAATAATTGGGAAAATGTTACCTGATTTAAAAGGGAATTTACATAATGATTGGAGAGCACTTTTACAATCAGAAAATATTATTGTTTTATGTAATTTTATTAAGAGAATGTATTCAACTGCCTTAAGAAGACCTACGCATTCACTAGTAAAAACGGATGTTTCAGGAGGAAGCTTTGTTTTTTGAATAATATTGTATTGAGAATGAAGAACACCACTCCTACGGCCGAGTTATCTAGTTTAGAGGCATCAGTGAAAATATGGTTGTAGGAATGCCAATTAACATCTAAGTTAAAGTTAAAGGAAGCGCTAGCAAAACGTCTGTTAACTTCACTAAAATCAAAACAAACATCAGGGGGCAAAATAAGGCATTCATAATTACTACCGTATAGTGGGTGAATGTCAAAAGTACATATGAGTTGGAGCTTGTAATGTAAGATAATTTCTATAACTATTTATAAGGCAAGGAGTACTTTTGTGAGACTAGTAACCAGGGGTATTTATTAGATTGTTTAATAGCTCAAGTTTTTGCAGTAAAGGGTGACGATTAAATTGGATAATGCGGAAAAAGAATTTATCATAATTATAATATATTTATAGAAGGGCAAGCGGAGGTTCAATGCATTCCACTTGCATCGCATTTATTGGACTTAATTTCATAGCACCGGTTATTATTCTGAGGTCCTTAGACTGAATCTTATCTAGCTTTTTAAGATTAGACAAGCCACATGGCTCTAGCATAAAAGATCCATAGTTAATTATACTCCTAATTAGAGCATTATACAGCAGTTTTAAAGAGTACGAATGGCTGCCCCACCAGACCCCGCATAAACATCTAAGCATGTTAAGAACCTTTTCACATTTATTAACAACATAATCACAATGAGGAGATCCATTCATTTTACAATCAAAAAGAATACCAAGACATTTAACCTCGCCAACAACAGGATTATGTTATTATTAAAATAAATATTTATTGCAGGATGAACTTTACGCCTTGAGAAAAACACAATGGAGCTTTTGCTAGCAGATAACTCTAGACCATTCGAATCTAACCAGCACTTTAACAATGTCAATTTAGTTGATAGTACATTCACGGCTTAGTCACTTAGATTAGATTCAACATATAAAAGAACATCGTCAGCATATTGCAAAATAGAAACTCCATTACCTAAATACCTGTCTAAATCATGAGTGTATATGTTGTACAGTATGGGACTCAAAACAGATCCTTGCGGAAGACCTTTGTTTATTGTCCTCTGTCAAGAATATTCATAGATATGGCTCAGAAGCGAGATTGGCCGATAGTTCTTCAAAAGTGTTTTATCACCCTTTTTGAAGAACAGAACGACCTCGCTTCTGCCATTATCTAGTCCATTGCCGTGCAGGTAGAGAATGGACCGTTTAAGGAGAGGCTACACCAGTGCATAACATAAATTATAATATTTTATGATAATTTATTTTCAATGGGCCGTAAAAAATAAGGAGAAGCTACAACAATGCATAATGTAAATTATAATATTATAACAATGTCAGATAACATATAGACTAACATAAATAGTCACAGCAGTTAATGTTGAGTAACATAACCATGTTAGCTAATACTGTTGGGTAATTTTTCGAAAAATTTCAAATAGCGGAAATTTTTCCGGAAAAATTCCCGAAAAATTGGAAATATTTTATTTATTAATCAATTTAAATCTCGTTTTTCTATAAGTGGCTTTTAGCTATACAAGTTTATTTTGTAATTCACGCGAAGTAAAACTTCAAAAGATATTTCTAAACGTAGAGAACATAATGTGAACCATCCAAATTATACTTTTCCAATTTTTAAATTTTTTTCCAATTTATCGAGAATTTTTCCGAGCAAATTTCCACTATTTGAAATTTTTTGAAAAATTACCCAACAATAATGTTTGTAGCTAACATGTTCGCAATTAATGGAGCCCCTATAAACAATGTCACGTTATCAACTGTCAGATCACTGTCAGTCAATTGTCAATTTGCCACTCGACGAATATAGCAAATATAGTCTTTTGAACTCTTTTGAGAAGCCTGCGTGTGAATTGTAAAAGAGAGTGAACTCTAATTTTATACGGGAATTATTTTGAAATTTAGCCTTGTTTTTGTATTAAACATTTAAGAGTATTTCATCGAAATTTAATTTCAGCATCATTTAATCGCAAACGCCTCACAATTAAGGTTTGAAATATGTGAAAGCTATTTTCATGAAGTCAAATATTTTCTAATAACACTGACGTGTGTTTGTTGGATTGGAGAAATAATCGAACGATTATTTCTCAAAATTGATCAGCTAATACTTTCAGGCCTTACGAGCTGCAGTTATGGCGGTGACAAAGCGAAAGCAATCTCCAGAAACAGAAGAACTTCTTGAAAATGGAGAAACTTTAATCCAAGAGAGTAATATAAAAGGAGATGAGTTGAATATTGCCGTATTACTTTTTTTGTATACTCTACAAGGCATTCCATTGGGGCTTGCCGGCGCCGTGCCCATGCTGTTGCAAAATCGTGGCATAACTTACACCCAGCAGGTAACTATTCTGAAATTTAAATTTACTAAAACAACCTGTACAAATATACTGACTACTGTGCAAAATAGGCGCCTTGACGTCGAGTTGCGGACACTAGCCCGTTACAAAGTACCAAGTACTGTGTAACGAGATCTTTTAATGACTGATAAGGTTAATTTAAAATTTCATTGCCAATTAATTTCATTAACAATAATTAATGGCTCCTGCTTAAAATTGTTTGCATTAAAAATATAATATATGTATTTTACTCAATATTTTATATATTTATTTGTTCTATTTATTGTAATGTATATTTATTGTATGTTTAAATAAGTATTTATATGTTTTTATTTACAGGCTGAATTTAGTTTTGTCAACTGGCCGTTTAGTATCAAATTGCTTTGGGCACCAATAGTTGATGCAATATTTTGGCCTGAATTTGGACGGAGAAAAACTTGGCTGGTACCTGTGCAGTATCTTATTGGTATTGTTATGATAATCATGTCGAACAGTATCACTGAGTGGCTTGGCTCAGAGGAAAATGCCCCTTCAATGACAGTATTGACTATGTCATTCCTCTTCCTAAACTTCTTGGCAGCAACTCAGGATATAGCTGTAGATGGATGGGCACTTACTATGTTGAAAAGGTGTGCATTTTGTTCATATTACTGTTAGCTATTTTTGTGTTGTTAGGGCCAGCGCAAACCAGCAGACGACAAAGCAAAGGACATTAAATTTATCAATGTATATTTTATGCTATTACAATTAAAAAAGCATAAAGTACACATTGATAAATTTAATGCCCTACCTTCCACCTGACCCTTAAAATCTATGCATCTAATGTAGGAATCACATGGGAAGTATGTATTCCTCAGGATTTCCTTACACTCTGCCAAATAGGTCATGATACAAATCTTAGGTAATGATACAAGGTGCGCGTTTAATATGCGCTTGCGCAGCACTATTGCTCCAGCAGAATTATATGAATAATGTCAGCTGTTGTGCAACATTCTTTTATATAAAGTTACATTACTTAAGCAGCACAGATTCCACATGCTTGATTATAGAATCTAATCTAATCTTCAATTTATAATGTAATATATATGCAATAGTAAAACTCCAATGATGGTGACTTAGTATAATTTAAATACTACGAGATAATAGATTTTAAATGTCATCATCTGTTATCTAATAAAGACAATAATTTTATAGTAGTTTACATGAAATATATCTGTCCATCACCATTAGGTAGATTTTGTGTGAATTATTATTTATTCTATACTAAATTCCAAAAAAATTGCACAAATAAACATTCTTATTATTTCTTAGCAAAGAAATAAGAATAAGAATGTTCCAATTACTAAATATTTTTCTTGTACTTTTCAGATGTAACGTTGGCCATGCATCAACATGCAATACAGTAGGACAAACAGCTGGTTTCTTCTTAGGCTATGTTTTATTCTTAGCCCTAGAATCACCATATTTTTGCAATAAATACTTGAGAAGTATACCCCAGGATACTGGATTAGTCACCCTTTCCAGTTTTCTTTTATTCTGGGGCTGGATTTTCATTATTGTAACTACACTAATAGCCATATTTAAACATGAATCAAAGGAAAATCCAGTGAAAGAGAGGCAAGTCAAGGGTACAAAAGATATAGTGAATGCATACAAACAACTGTACACCATTGTGAAACTACCATCTGTTCGGACTTTAGCTCTGGTGCTATTTACTGCTAAGGTAAATAATAACTCAAATACTTCACAACTGTTCACTAGCAATGTTAAACACTTTTAAAAAAATTTGCTAAAACAGCACAAGTCTACAGTCTTCACAGTCCTAACAACATAACAATTCATTTTTTTCTGTTTTACGTACACACCCTGTCTTTCTAATATGGATTTGTTACGAATTTGTTGACTTCAAATGTGCTTTTGACAGCTGATATAGTGGTACTCACTAACTGTAGAGTCAGAAAATTTATTTTAAAAAAACACATGTATATACTATGTATATTATGGTGAAATTAAAGGCACATGGGACTTATCAACTTATGTCTCTGGGTGACGGGTAGACTGGCAGTGCTCCTTGTGATTTAAAGCACTGAGGGGCATTGCAACTGCTATGAACAGGCATGTCGCTTACCACCAGTCGCACGACCTGTTCATCCCATCACTTGGCATTATAAAAAAAATCTAAAAAATCGCAATGCTCCATTGCTTGATTCTTGTGAAATGTTTACTTTGTTGGTTCTATATGTAGCAAATTATATGTAATGTAAGTAGCTTAGTTATGTAGAAAGTATATGTACCATATAATGTGAATTATTTCATTTACGGAAAGTCAACATTTTGGTTATGACCTGCCTAAATGTGATCCACTCTCTTGACCCCTCATTAACGTCTTATGCACCCGCTTTTTTTTCTCTTATGTGGTCGATACAGACCATTTTAAGAATCATCTCTCTAGTTTCTGTGTATTTTAATGATAATGTATCTGCATGTATGGTATGAGTAATATAGTATTTTTTACAATTAATTTGCTGTAATTAATAAGAATATTCTTTTTCTTAAGACCTGAGGCGCTTATGAAAAAACAATGTGATTGAAATACATACACACGATGTTGTTTAAGGTGATCATATAACTTGTTTCCATGCAACACATTCGAAACATATCAAACGAAAATTTCAGCAACAATTTAATTATTACAGCCATAATTTTAAGTAATTTATGAGCTAACTTGATTAATATTTTTCAGTGTGTATTCGTTTTTATAAAGGGTTTCCCTTTATACATACTTATTTGATGACCTCGCTGGTCCAATGGTTCATACTGTGGGTGCTGAATGAGGAGGACCAAATTGGGAAATGAACTTTTCTAAATTGGTTCTAGTCTAGGTGTTCTGGTAAATGCCCCAGAGTGAATTTCTTTGTTCTGGTACTCGTAGTACAGGAAGTTCCTTAGTTGGAGACCAGACAATTGGTGTAGCTGTTTGGCACGTCAATATTATACAAAATTAATTCAGATATGAATGACGACCTCCGTGGTCGAGTGGCTTGCACACCGGTTTTCATGGCGTCGCCATCTCTAAGGTCCCGGGTTCGATCCCTGGCCGGCCGGGTCAATATAGAAAAATCTGACTTTCGTATTTATTTATTTTTTTACGCACACACTCAATATTGCGTCGGATCAGGGTGTTTGTAGTACCGTAGTTGTTTCCGATTTCCATAACTCAAGTGCTTTAGTTATTTACTTAGCAACATATGTATATGATGTTGTCTAATATTTATTTCTCTCGTGAGTTTAGGTGTAATTTGTGGTTAACTATGGGCGTATCCATGGCACCCGCGACACAGGGTTTCCCTAGTGCGTAGTATTATTTATTTATAAAAAAAAAAATGTATCATTGATACTGACTGATAATTATTTCAGAAGGTGTAATTACATGAAAATTTTATTTTCAGCTCGGCTTCTGCGCCAGTGACGCTGTGTCAGGCCTGAAACTTATAGAAGCGGGTGTACCACGAGAAGATTTAGCATTACTCGCTGTTCCATTAATACCTGTACAAATTATAATGCCAGTGGTAAGGATACATTATAAATATTATTTTTAACAACTTACGTTGAATTCTTGGCGCCTAAGAGTTTTAATGTTAGTATCAGTAGAGCTCCTTGTGAAATAGTTCGTCCAGCGAAGTACTGCCACCTTACCTATTTCTGCCGCCAAGCAGTACATATGTGAGCGTTACTGTGTTCCGACCAAGCAGTAATGTGAGCATTACTGCGTTCCAGGCAAGCAGTAATGTGAGTATTACTGCGTTCCGGTTTTGAAGCGTAAGGGTGATGGTGAAATTACAGGTATATGTGACTTGTCGACAAGTCTCAGGATGACTTAAGCAGTGGCAGTGCCCCTCAGATCTTTGCGATTTAAAGCTCGGAGTGGCAGTGCAACTGGTATGGATAAACGTGTCGCTTATCACCAGTGGCACGACTTATTCGTCTCGTCAGTTGGCATCATAAAAAAAGAGAAGAATTAAATTACATTGAAATGTTGAAAAAACGCTATCCGTGCGCTGTCGTAATTTTCAATCATCAGTACAATAAGTCATGGTTTCTACTAGATTCTAATAGTCATGGCTTATATAGCAATAAAATGATAATTGATTTTATATAGTTTCTTGTAATTAATCGGCCAATTATTTCACATGACTGTAAATACGACTTCGTTAATAAAATTACACATAAAATAAACACATGGATTGTCTAAATTCCGTATCAACTTTATCCTGGTCATTTGCCATTGAAATCATTTACATTTAACTACATAATAAAGTAAGACTAATTATAGAAAAATATGAAAAAATATGTTAGTGTGCAGAAGTCGCACATCACTGGTTTTCAGCCTTCCCTCAACCCTTGCAAACACGTTTGTATTTCGGTCCTGTATCGCAAACTTAGTCTATCAATAGTCCATTATAATTTAATAGTACAAAATAAATAAAAATTAAAAAAGTGAAGAATGAACCATTTTATGCGCAATTATAAATAATAAAATTGTGAAACTAAATGAATAATTTAATCAATAAATAAATAACTTCTGATCACCTTTACGTCGTATTTAGTTATTACCTAAAAAACCCCTAACTAAATACCTACGATGTAAAGGTGATCAGAGATTATTTATTTATTGATTAAATTATTTATTCAGGTTAGCTTGCGTAAGCGCAAGTAGATTTGCGGCGTACATAAGTTAACCGTGAATGCAGTTACTAATCTTATAATAATAATAATGAAATATTTTCACACAAGCAACATAAATTTATTACGAAAAAACATTTCAGGTGCTAGCAAAGTATACAACAGGACCGGCACCCCTATCTCTTTGGCTTAAAGCCTTCCCGCTACGACTCTTAGTTGGACCATTAGCAGCCGGATTAGTAGCCATAACACCGACTTTACTCGCCGGCTCCGCGCCCTCATACACCTATTTATTCATCTTAATGTGCCTCTATATTTTTCATCAGGTAAGGTTTAGTAATCAGTAAGACACGTTTTAATTTGCAGTGCAAGTGAGCGCGCGTTCCCATTACGTCGTAACGTTTTATTTATCATTGGACGACTGTCGCGTCTAGCCTGTTCCCATATCACGACTATCTGTCGTAACTGAGTCGTGAACGTTTATTTTATCGTTGGACGACTGTCGCATCTAGTCTGTTCCCATAACACGACTATCTGTCGTGACTGTGTCGTGGACGGTTATTTTATAGTTGAACGACTGTCGTGTCTAGCGGCTCCCACTAGATCGTGACGACAATTTATCGGTTCTCGGTAGCCGCCTTGTCGTTTGCACGACATAATGGTTTAAAGCTGCGATTATCTGTCATCATATTTTCATCGTGACGGTTTATTTATCGTCACACGACTGTCGTTCCAGCTCTCCCATTGTCATGACAGTGTTCTATGTATATATATAGAACAATACGATTGAAAGTGTCACTAAAACAACTATCTGTCGTCACGACATAATGGGGACACACCCTATGTTGTAATAGAAAACTGGGGCTAACTTTAATAAAAAGTAAGCTGCGTTAAAGTTAATTATTGAAATCGATATAGGTTTCATTCGGTTGTTCTCTTTTCTCTCGTGTTAGATATTTTATTCTTAAATAATTCGTTTACGCTTTTATTTTATCCTGTTTTCGGGATTTTATATGATCGAGTGAAGGACATCCTATCATGTGACGAATTAGCACATTCTTTGTCTGTTATATTTTTGTAAGACTATTTAGTAGTAAGTTATTTAATAGTAAATAACTGAACCATTTGATCTAGCAAAACAGTTTTTCCCGGTTCTCGACTTAAACATTGGCCCTTTAGAAATATACTCAATTACTATAAAATAAGCTCATAGTCCCCTGACATATTTATTTCGGAACACGGGAGAGACAGTTTTATTGAAATATCTGTAATAACAATCGAATGAAACTGATTTTTCCGTAAATGAACGTAGTAAAAATGAAAAATTTTCGGAACTTTGTGATTTTTTTATATAAAATTTAGTATATCGTGTTACAGGCCACATAGTTCACTATCGGTGTTCGTATTTTTTTATGTCGAAAAACCGATTTGTCGTGTGGTCGACACCCGTCAAAATGCCTATTTTGAGTTCTCACTTCACTAATCATAACTACGCGCAACGCTGATTTGATAAAAACAATGGTATAATAAAAAAATAGAGACATTGTTTTCAGTACAGTCGACGTCTTAAGATTTCTGACCCCGTAGCCCACCTTTTGGTTCTGAGAGCATTCTTACGAATTCAACAGAAAAGAATGAAGGAATTACATCTTTTGGGTAAAATTTGTATTTATGTTATGCAATTAAAGATAACATTGGCTTAAAAAGTTTCTTAAAACGTCATTCACTAATGATGCAATAAGAAAGTCATACTAAAATGTATTTTACGGTTTACATGTTAAAAGTTACGTTCGTTTAACACTTTTCTACTCAAAACCAAACAATCGGTTAAGGGGTCAGATATATTAGGGCATCGATTGTGTATAATAATTTACTGTGTAATAAAAAAAAAAATTTTTATTACTTTTTCAGACTTGTCTTTACTGCATGTTCGTAGCTGTAATGGCGTTCTTCGCTAAAGTATCAGATCCAGCAGTAGGTGGCACTTACATGACCCTTTTAAACACTGTATCTAACCTCGGGACGAATTGGCCAAACACGCTGGCACTGTGGGCAATTGACACTCTGACGTTCAAGAAATGTACTGCGCCAGGTCTAACTGATAACACGTGCTCTTCCAAAGCTGAAATAGATGTAAGTAACTCTTTAATTCTGATATTTATTTAATATGATCTTTAGCGAAGAAAACTCTTTACAAGTAAATAAATACGTGTAATCCCACTATAACAAAAAATTAAGTCAAAGATTGTAGCACGTCGATGTCTATTGTCTTTGAAATCAGAAATCAGAAACATTTATTGTATGAATTGGTAAAATACAGGTGTTACTTACAAGTGATTAGATCTACAATTCTTACCCAAATCAGGCGTACAATGTCTTAAAATTACAATTCAATTAAAATTTATTACAACTTATATGTCAAAATTAAAATTATATAAAATTCTTTAAGATTGTAAAAAACTTTGTCAATTAACCATTTTTTTTAAACAAGCTTTAAAAATATCACCATTTAAACATTTCATTTCCATTGGAAGTCTGTTATAAATTCTAATCGCTGTTACATAGGTGCTGCGGTCAAAGATAGTGCTGTTTATTTTAGAGAGGACAAAACGGTCCTTGTTTCTGACGTTAACGGAGTGTACATTAGATATTTTAGTAAAGAAGTTACTGTGATTACGTACAAAAAGACATATTTCCAAAATATATATTCCTGTTAAAGTCAGGAAACCCTTTCTTTGTACAGATTTCTTAGAGTCACTGGGTAATAGAGTAATAGTCACTGGGTTTACTATAGATTATGCGTAAGCATCGATTTTGTATTGTGAATTCGACAGAGTTTCCCCAAAAAATTACACCATACATTAATAATGGGTATACGTTCCCGTAATATGCGTTTTTTGCAACTTCAACCGACGCTACATCGACCAATACATCTGTATTTACGCTTTATCTAAAGCGTAGCAATAACTACCAAGCTTGTTATTTAGCACATCTATGTGATGTTTCCAATTTAAATTTTTATCTATAGTAATACGTGGTAATACCAAGAAATTTAGTATTGTTTACCTCATCAATAACGTCATTTTCATAAGTTATGTGTAAATCTAAGTCGATTTTTTTGTAATTACCAAACTGCATATATTTTGTTTTAGAATTATTTCTTTTTAAATTTAGTGATTTAAGCGGGTAATAAGACCGTTCAATGTATTGTTTATGTCAAATTCGTAGTCAATTTTTGTTTTTCCGTTATTAGTAAATAATATTGTGACATCATCAGCGAACATAATAGGTATACAGCGTGCATAACACTGAGTAAGATGTGACAGTTCATTTATATATATAATAAAGAGACCCAGTACACTTCCCTGTGGCACTCCCAATATATTTCTTAAGTATGTCGATCTGGCCTCTTGCACGCATTTATTGCTAAATACGGTCAGACATAGTGCTTTTCACGTTCCGACAGGTAACTACGTATTAAGTCATTTGTTACGCCTCGAATACCACATTTGTCAAGTTGTTTTAGCAAGATAAGAGTGTATAACACAGTCGAACGCTTTTGTCATGTCCAAGAAAAGTGCAATAGTGTCTTTTTTAAGGTTTATAGCTTCCCACGAACTATGTAGAAATTTATTTATTTATTTATTTACACAACTATATCCTTACAGGTTAGGTACACCCAATTCGATAGCGTCGACATCATTCTTAGATATCTAATTAATTACTTATATCTAAACTCTATTACATATTATATTATACTAAATTACAGCGAACAAAGTTATCAGAACAATTGCAAATGTAAAAATGGATAGAGATGTTGATCTCATATTACGAAATCCAAATTGAAACTGACTAAATATGTTACGTTTATCTAAAAAGTTTGTTATTCTTTTGTAGATAACCTTCTCAAATATTTTAGAGAAATTCGGTAGAAGAGCTATAGGCCTGTAATTTTCTGAGACTTCTTTGGAACCTTTTTTATGTAAAGGTTTTATTAATGATATCTTCATTTTATCAGGAAAGTAGCCAGTTTGTAGCATTAAATTAATTATATGTACTGGCGGCAATATAATAATGTCAACACTAGTCTTTATCACTTGCATTGAAATACCATCGTCACCACAACTTCGTTTACTTTTAATAGTTTTAATTATATGTCGAACTTCCTGTTCATCAACTGGATTCAAATATACGCTCTTACGTTCATGTTCTTGGATAGTTTTGTAATTATTAACAAAATTGGAATTAAAACTTTATGTAACATAATGTTTATTTAAATGTTCAGCTATTTGTGAAGGGTCAGTTATATTTCCTTGATCGGTTTATAAATTTTTGATTGTTGTTGGTATTTCGTTTGTAGTTTGTAGTATTCTGTTTAATTGTCCAAGTGGCTTTAGTTTTATTTGTACTTTTGGCTATGTAATTTATGTTCGTTTTGCGTTTAGAATGTCGTATAGTGGATCTAAGTATTTTTTTATATTTATTGTAATGTGAAATAGTAGAGTTGGGCCTATATTTTTGGAATTCAACGAAAAGTTCACGCTTGCGTTTGCTAGAAATTTTAATACATTTTGTTTTCCAATGTGGTTTCTTTCTGAAGGTCACTTTACATTTTTCTATCGGAAAACACAAATCGTATACAGTTTTGAATATATCAATAAATACATTATATGCCTCATTGGGATGAGTTTGCTCAAATACCCCATGGAACTTCATTTGACATATATATTTCATAAATATGTCAATGTAATTATCAATTTTTCTTCTATAAACATACCAATGTCTGACGGAAAAGCTAGCGGAACAAAGAAATTTCAGCATTTGTGCCGTATGATCGGATATACCCAGATTTAATACTTCTGCTTTACATTTACTGAAATTTGTAACAATGGTGTCAATACAAGTCTGAGAATGCAATGTAATACGTGTAGCTTTAGTAACTCTGAATCTGAATTTATGTATGCTAAGGATTTCCAGGAAACATGACGTAAGGTTATCCTTTTGGAAAAGGTTAACATTGAAATCACCCACTAACACTATTTTATTATTTAAATTTCTATGTTTTCTAGTCAATTTGAATAAGAGACATTCAAGCCGATCAAAGAAGATAGTAAAATTTTTACCAGACCTGTATAGGCATACTATTATTGTTTTCAAGTCAGGAATATTTTCCCCACAACACTCGAATTTTTCCTCTACAGCAAATTCATGTAACCATTCCAGTTTATTAAAATGTATAGTATTTTTAACGAAAATGCATACTCCACCCCGTCTGTGATTTTTCCTGCAAAAATATTCCGCTAATTTATAACTTTCTATATGTACACAAGACTGATCGCCATTTTTTAGGAACGTTTCGCTGAAACATAGTACATCCGGAGACAGGCATTTGTATAATACAAAACAAATGATAAGAGTTCCTTAAAAAAGAGTTCCGTACAATGG